GAATTTTCGTCAGACTTGAAATATTTATACGTATTAATTTTGTTTCGTTCTCGACGTTCCTCTTCGAAAGATGAGGACTCGAAGCATTCTGAGAACATTCTGTTGATTCGTTAAACTCCTGTTGTTTCTCATTTAAAGGCGAAGTTAAATAGTTAAGAGGTTATTCTACATTTTTAAAAGAAATTCTTCCATATATTAATCTTAAATTTATTTTACTCTCGTTGAAACATGGAGTTGGTATTGTCTGAATGATTTGAAAGGATATTATGAGAGGAAGAAGGCATTAAATTCGATGAATTTCGAGTATCAGAATAATTCTGCTTCTAAAAAAGATTCTTCCACGTGCTGATGTTGAATCTATTTTATCCTCGCTGAATGACCAAGTCGAAGATTTTATAACACAGTGTACCGTAGTATAGTATAAGAAGTTGAAGAGAAGAATCGAACTCGATGAATAACATACTGCTGAAATCTGAAGAGATTGCCGATTCTCATCGGTGTGAAATGAAATCGTACGTTTCACGATTTTCACGGCGGTGGAATTGGTTCGAAGCTGTCGCTAGGCCAGATCTCCTCGCAGTGCTTCTTTTCCGTGGCTGTCGCGCGGAATGGCCGGATTTTTTGCCCCCGTGTGGAAGGACGAATCCCCATGATGCGCGACGACGACGACGACGACGACAACGGCGGCGGCGGCCCTTCGAATCCAGCCGGCCAACGGATTTAATTGATATTGCCCCGGCCACCGTCGACTTTTAATTCGTAATAAATTTCGATCATGCGCCGCGAGATTTATGAAGTCACCATCCATCGGCCGGCTGTCCATCTTTCTAGCCCCGCGGCAGAAAAATTCACCGGCCGACGGAGAGAACTTTTGGCGACTTTATGGCAACTGTCAGTCGGCCGCGATTTACGATCACCGGCCGGTTGGTGACACGAGGGGACGTGATCTAAATTTGGTGCTGAAACCGTCGAACCTTCACCACTCGCCTCTAAAAACGTAATGACTTTTATTCGGCTCCCAGCCGAATTAACTCGAGCCAGGGAATAATAATTATCCGCTAAGATCAGATAAGTCATGGGGATATTGAAGTCTGTAAATGGGATGTTGGATAAAGTGGATGATTTGCAAGTGAACGAGTTGCTGGCTTTCGATTTGTCGAAATGTTGTTAACATATGGTAAATTATGTTTGGTGAATCTTTTCACTCGTCGTCAACAGCAGTAAAAATCGGTGAGCTTCTTCGTCTATCTCTCGACGATTGACAGTCACATTAATTTTACGTGTCTCGTAGATCTCGATTTCTTTTCTCTATTTTATTTGCCTAACCGAGACTCGTACAAAGAATGCTCCGAAAATCAATTAATTGATCTCACTATTTTCTCTCGCATGCTGAAATTTTCTGAAAACGAAATGATCATTACACTTTCCCACGTTCATTGTCCAATTTTATATTGCACTCGACAATTTATTAAAAATCAATTAATTAATTCTCTTTACATTTTACTCTTAGCCTTTATTATACTTATAGTAACTTTCCCGTGTTTCACGGTTTATTGCCTAAATTTATACTACATTTATCAACTAATCGATCCTACTTTGCATTCATCCAACATTTTATTCTCACCGTATATGCTTATATATATACTTATGCGTACACTTATGTATATATATTTATATACAGAGTGTCCTGCAACTGAGAGCTGATTTTACGTGAGTCGAAAAGAATGAATAAAATTTCTTTATTGAAGCCTGTGTTTTTCGAGGAAATCGAGTTTGAAAATTCATCGGATATATTTCGAATTTAACTAATTCTAGGCGTGATATGCAAGCATAAGATAGTTGAGAGGTTGTTTTACTTGCGAAAATGAGTGAAAAGATTTTTCTGTAAAATGTCCTGCAATATTCTCGAGATTTATTTTCTACGAAACGAAAAAAAAAAAGTATGATGAAATCCAAGCCAAATTCAAGTCGATAATTAATAAGTTTTCGATTTTGCCTTCCAGGAGCGATGATCGCGGTACACCCCGTATATACTCGCGATAAAAATCGCGAGACTCTCTCGTGTTCACGGTGCTAAATTCGATCGGAAGCTCCGTGCTTGGCCGCTATCTCGTTGCCACTCGTAAAAGTCGGCTTTTCGTTAAGCATACAGGCAGAGCCGAGAGGGACATTTTCGTTGCAAAATGAATCGTGCTCCTAAGGCGTTTCGTAAGAATTTCGCGTCCGCGGTCGGATTCCAACGACTGGTTTTACGTCGAAACTGCAAATGGATCGGGAGCTGAAATATGTCGGCCCAATTTGCCGGTGTCTGCCGCCTCTGGGCCCCTCGGAGAAGTTCGGTGTCTTCTTACTCTCTCGTTAGTCGCCTCGAGCTCTCGCCTCCTCCTCTTCCTCGTCCTCCCTTTTTCACCTTCCTCTCCACGCTTTCGTTCTCCCTTTCTCGCCGATTCTTGATCGGTCTTTGGTCGCTCGCGTTAACCGAGATATATGCCGCGTCGCGAGTGAATTCGGTCTGATTGGCCCTTGGACAGGTGCTCGCTGGCCACGTACTCAGTGATCGTCGTCGGTGTGGAGAACGCGAGCTATCGTTGGAAAATCTTTGATTGACCTTACAATTACGATCATCATTTTTCTTCTGCAGCAATTCTTCGATGATACATCGAATCTGTTTCTTTCTAGATGATCTGTTACAGGTGTCCATAAATTTAATGTCGTTCTTTTATCAAATTTAACATTGCCATCTAGTGACAATAATTAATTTAACTTGTTATAACATAACCTATATTCTATAGGTTTAGGTTAGGTTTCTAAGGTTAATTCTATAGGTTTAGGTTTAGATTAAGGCTAATTCTATAGGTTAAATATACAATAAAATTAACTTATTATATATTTAACTAGAATATAGGTTATGTTATATAATAAGTTAAATAACAGAATTATATTATTATATGGATTAAAACTCTATTAACTCTTGTAATAAATATATGAAATTTTTTATAAATAATAAAAAAAATGAAATTTTGTGCAGCAATCAGAGAACAACATTACTTGATAATTTACGTTTAAACGGTTGATAGTTTATACTAACTGCAGTTCATATAGAAAGATTCCCCTCCCCCTCCGCTACTGACAAAAGACAAAGTTCAAATAATTGCGTCCAATCAACGAATTTTCTTTTATTCGAGTATTGACTAAAATTTGATTGAAGCAAACGGAGTTCTTACGAACGAGTGTTCCACCGTGGATTGCAGATTTTTATCACAACTTCCTATTCTCGAGGAAGATGTAGTTAAAAATACAGAAACGTAGGAAATTCTTTCGTGTAGCAAATGTTATAGAAAACACTCTATTGATATTTTCTAGGCTTTTTCGTCTGTATCATGTGCAATTTATCGTGTGTACCTTAGAATTTCCTATCAAACGCGTAAAAATCCGCGATTTTGATGGAGATAGAATTCTTTCTCTTGATTTGCCAGGGAGAAATGTTTGCGGAAAGCGGATGACACGTAATAACGCGATCAGAGATCTCGGAACAGAGATAGATTTCGACACGATGATAGTTTAGAATCCCAGGAGAACGGTGTATGAACGAGTCACGATAGGGCCCCATACAGGCTGACCTATGGACTGTGACATTGGCGCATCTGGCAGCCATTACGCTCGTGTCAACGCGATAATGCATTAACAGTAACATTAGAACTACCAAAATGGTCAAAATGATATATTTATAATTTCCTTAATTTCTATATTATAATTTTCTATTATATTTTTCTGGAAACTTTATACATTTATGACAGTATATTTTTAGATATGCTTTTTAGAGTGATTTTTATTAAAATTTATATTAATAGAGACTTGTGTCATTTATTGTATTATTATTAACTTTAACTTGCCCCTTTCATTTCTTTGCCACAAATACATATTATACTTTGGTCGTGTTAATGCTTCTGAATTACTTCCAATTTTAGAAAAGAAAATCGATTCTATCGTTCGAGCGAACAAACAAATTTTAGAGACTCGAAATAATAATATTGGAACAGTTTTATAAATATTTAAACCATCGTACGTTCTTTGTTTCGAAGAGACTTCTTTCTTCTTGTAAAGTAAATTTTTGAACATACAAAAAGTACTAGAAATACAAAAGAAATCATTATGATTAAAATGTAGAAATTAGGAAAAACAAACATTTTTGTTAACAAACATCATTCATTTTCATTAATTGAACTAAAGTTTTTCAATAAAAAGAATAGTTAATTTTATATAAGATATAAATAGAGTAAAAGTTATATATAAATAAATAATAATTATACTTATTTTATTAATACCTTCTTTTACTAAATTAATAAGATATACAAAATATGAAAATATAATTATTACTCCTCTAATTATAATCATTAAAATTATGTACCTGTAGATAGTTAAGCAAGGTTTATCAAAAAAGATATTAATGGACATTATAATAAACTGAAATTAAATAATTCATTGGATTCGAAGGTAGATTAATTAAATATATATTAATAAAAAAAATCATTGTTGTTATCATTCTATGCTAACTATCTACATCTATAAATTTATATTGTTATAATATTATGCATAACGCAACAATCACAATATCGTTATGACCGATCGATAATCGATAATAATACAGCAACTCCTTTCACATGAAACTTTTATTTTAAGCAGTCTTAATCCGAAAGTTCTCCGCGCAAATATAAACGCAAATATCGCTCTATCGATCGAACGATCGGATCGACTCGTAAAAACACGCGCATTATTGATTAATCCGGCAAGAAAAAAACTCCCGGCCGCAATTTTAAGAACTGTCCCCTCATCGCTGCCGATACTTTTCGTCGTCGCATTAACAAAAGGAGCTCGTTACGAATGCTTCCATCCGAAATTCCACCAGCCAATTGTCTCAGCGATATCATCAGCCACGCTGGCGTTTCGCTAATTTAATTAAACTCCTTTGTTGGCCTGTTCTGCACGCAAACTCGACGCAGATCAATCGATCCCAGTTGTCTCACTTCCACATCGAGATTTGGAAGACTTACTTGATTAAAAATGCTCTTGGAGCATTTTTTTCTAATTTTTAATATACTTATTTCTAGATATTTATTTTTGATACACTTCATTTATAGGCACATTTGTACATTTCTTTATTTTTAATATGCTTTTATTTATAGATACTTGCATTTACATTTACTTATATTTTTACTTATTTACATGTACTTAGTACTACATCTACTTATTATTATACTTGCACTTGTACTTTAATATATTATATTCGTATGTATTTATAATCGTGGACAGTATCGTTCTACTTCTTGCCAACTGTCTCACACAAACTTGCCACATTCGTCAAATTCAATGAAACTCCACGAAGCAAGAGTCGTCGAAGCTTACCGAATCAGCTGTTCTTGAAACAGATCTTCCAAATCGAGCACGTTCCCTTGAATAATCCGTACACGGGTACTCTCTTCCACGTTTCTCGTTTATTTATTTATTTTTTTTTTTTCTTCTTCTTCTTCACAAAGAGCATCGCCTGTTGCATCGACTACCTCGTGCAGTCAATTAAATAGAAAAGATAAATGCGAAACAAAGAAGGAAGGAAGAAGGGGCTCACCTGCCACATTGTGAAGGAACATTGTCGGCGAGACGCGCGATGATCAGCGAGATATATCGAAGCAGAAAGCGCGTCGGTAAGCGCAATGACAATCGGAATCTGGACGATGGCCTTAAGAGGGCCACCGGCTACTAGGAAAAACATGCAGAGAAATCGATGTTATCCGCGTGTCGCGGGGACCGATCGTTCGACAAAAACCGACAATCCGACAGCATACCTGTCGAACCAACGTGGGTACATCGGTCCGGTGCACAGATGATCGGCTGCCGTGCAACGTGAATCAAGTGACTAAAATGCAATTAACGGCAATTAAGGCGGTCTTTAAGGGCGGCCAGGGGAGATCGAACCGGACAATTTCACTTCTCTCTGTCTTCTGCGTCGGTATCGTCGCATTGCTTTTTACCCTCTCGCCCCTTTCTCGTCCACGCGAGACCACTGCTCTTGCATTCTTCTCTCCCTCCCTTTTCCTTTCGTTACTTTTTGTCAACGTTAGTTTTTTTTTTTTTTTTTTTTTTTTTTTTCTTTCGAACGACGTTATCGCAGGATTACGATAAAGTTTCTTTTCCCCAAGTTTGTTTCGTTGGTTGGTATCAATGTGATTTGACGTCCCTTTTTCTTTTTTTCGGTCGTGTGTTTCTCTTCTTCGCTGTTTATTTCCTTTATAATTGATCGTTTTTTTTTTGTTTTTTTTTTTCAATGTTTGGCTCGGAGAACTGCGAGTCGTGCAATTAAGTTTGGGAATAAAATAATTTCGACATAAACGAAAAACGAAGACGTTTAGAAATTCTTCGAAACGTAAAATGAACGCGACAGATTGTGAATAGCATGAAACACATACAGTAAATTGTAATTTTATTAATAATCACTGACACACAAATATTATCACATAATTGACTTGTCAATCTCAGAACAATCTTTAACACATATCAGAATATTCTACGTACAAATCGTTATATGTAATTTAAGTGATAAATAGATTTACACGATTATGTTTTCTACTCGAAAACGAGTCTTTCAAGCAGTTGTGAAAACAGAAGATCTGAAAAATCATTATATTGACAGATTTGATTACTTTAGTGTTGAATCATCATCAACTCTTACCGTCGATTCTATTGCTAACAAATTCTCTCACTATTGCGAAATTTCACGATGATCTCTCCCTGACAGTTCGTCACATTTTCAACAATCGTACAACGAAATGCTCGAATTTGGACGAAACTTGAAATGCAAATTCCCTTCGCTTGGAAAGAAAGAACACTCAGTTTGGATCGATTGGCTGAAAATGCCATCTCTCTTTATTTTTTTTCTTAGGCCGATTCAAGGTGCACGCACGCTTGCAATCGGCAGGTGATCGCCCCTGGTTAATTTCTAATTGTAATTCCCGAGGACAGGAGAAGCCTAGCGAAAAAGACAGGGTGAAAATAAAGAAATCTCGTTGGCCGTTGGTTCATTAAACAGTCAGCCTCCGAAATGGAAAGAGGAGAGGCAGACTCGGTTTTAATCATCGGTTAATTGCACGTTTGCGGTGTCTTCTTATCGATGATTGAGCTTAGAGGATAGAGCGAAATTATAGGCGAGCTGTGTTCGTTTCATAAATATTAAAACGTGAG